TGTCACTCACTCTCTCGACACCATCTCTGTGTCACTTCACTCTCTTCGACACCAATATCTGTGTCACTTCACTCTCCTTCTCTGTGTCACTTCACTCTCTCGACACCAAATCTCTGTGTCACTTCACTCTCTCGACACCAAATCTCTGTGTCACTTCACTCTCCTCGACACCAATCTCTGTGTCACTTCACTCTCCTCGACACCAATCTCTGTGTCACTTCACTCTCCTCGACACCAATCTCTGTGTCACTTCACTCTCCTCGACACCAATCTCTGTGTCACTTCACTCTCCTCGACACCAATCTCTGTGTCACTTCACTTCTCTTCGACACCAATCTCTGTGTCACTTCACTCTCTCGTCACCAATCTCTGGTCACTTCACTCTCCTCGACACCAATCTCTGTGTCACTTCACTCTCCTCGCACCAATCTCTGTGTCACTTCACTCTCCTCGACACCAATCTCTGTGTCACTTCACTCTCCTCCACCAATCTCTGTGTCACTTCACTCTCCTCAATCTCTGTGTCACTTCACTCTCCTCGACACCATCTCTGTGTCACTTCACTCTCCTCGGTGTCACTTCACTCTCATCTCTGTGTCACTTCACTCTCTCGACACCAATCTCTGTGTCACTTCACTCTCCTTCGACACCATCTCTGTGTCACTTCGACACAATCTCTGTGTCACTTTCTCCTCACCCATCTCTGTGTCACTTCACTCTCTTGACACCAATATCTGTGTCACTTCACTCTCCTTGACAACCAATCTCTGTGTCACTTCACTCTCCTCGACACCAATATCTGTGTCACTTCACTCTCTCGACACCAATCTCTGTGTCACTTCACTCTCCTCTGACCAATCTCTGTGTCACTTCACTCTCCTCGTCACCAATCTCTGTGTCACTTCACTCTCCTCGACACCAATCTCTGTGTCACTTCACTCTCCTCGACCACCAACTCTCCTGTGTCACTTCACTCTCCTCGACACCAATATCTGTGTCACTTCCTCGACACCAATCTCTGTGTCACTTCACTCTCTCGACACGCAATATCTTGTGTCACTTCACTCTCTCACAATATCTGTGTACTTCACTCTCCTCGACCAATATCTGTGTCACTTCACTCTCCTCGACACCAATCTCTGTGTCACTTCACTCTCCTCATCTGTGTCACTTCACTCTCCTCGACACCATCTCTGTGTCACTTCACTCTCCTTGCACCAATCCTGTGTCACTTCACTCTCCTTCGACACCAATCTCTGTGTCACTTCACTCTCCTCGACACCAATCTCTGTGTCACTTCACTCTCCTCACCAATCTCTGTGTCACTTCACTCTCCTTCGACACCAATATCTGTGTCACTTCACTCTCCTCGACACCAATCTCTGTGTCACTTCACTCTCCTCGACACCAATCTCTGTGTCACTTCACTCTCTTCGACACCAATCTCTGTGTCACTTCACTCTCCTCGACACCAATCTCTGTGTCACTTCACTCTCCTCGACACCAATCTCTGTGTCACTTCACTCTCCTTGACACCAATCTCTGTGTCACTTCACTCTCCTTGACACCCAATCTCTGTGTCACTTCCTCTCTCTTGACACCAAATCTCTGTGTCACTTCACTCTCCTTGACACCAAATCTCTGTGTCACTTCACTCTCCTCGACACCAATCTCTGTGTCACTTCACTCTCCTCGACACCAATCTCTGTGTCACTTCACTCTCCTTGACACCAATATCTGTGTCACTTCACTCTCCTTGACACCAATCTCTGTGTCACTTCACTCTCTTCGACACCAATATCTGTGTCACTTCACTCTCCTTGACACCAATCTCTGTGTCACTTCACTCTCCTTGACACCAATCTCTGTGTCACTTCACTCTCGACACCAATAACTTCAACTCAATCTCTGTGTCACTTCACAATCTCTGTCACTTCACTCTTTCAATCTGTGTCACTTCACTCTCTTCGTCACCAATCTCTGTGTCACTTCACTCTCTTCGACACCAATATCTGTGTCACTTCACTCTCCTCGTCACCAATCTCTGTGTCACTTCACTCTCCGGGACACCAATCTCTGGTGTCACTTCACTCTCCTCGACACCAATCTCTGTGTCACTTCACTCTCTCGACACCAAATCTCTGTGTCACTTCACTCTCCTCGACACCAATCTCTGTGTCACTTCACTCTCCTCGACACCAATCTCTGTGTCACTTCATATCTGTGTCACTTCACGACACCAATCTCTGTGTCACTTCACTCTCCTCGACACCAATCTCTGTGTCACTTCACTCTCCTCCACCATCTCTGTGTCACTTCACTCTCCTCGTCACCAATCTCTGTGTCACTTCACTCTCTCGTCACCAATCTCTGTGTCACTTCACTCTCTCGACACCAATCTCTGTGTCACTTCACTCTCCTCGACACCAATCTCTGTGTCACTTCACTCTCCTTGACACCATCTCTGTGTCACTTCACTCTCCTCGACACCAATCTCTGTGTCACTTCACTCTCCTCGACACCAATCTCTGTGTCACTTCACTCTCCTCGACACCAATCTCTGTGTCACTTCACTCTCCTCGACACCAATCTCTGTGTCACTTCACTCTCCTCGTCACCAATCTCTGTGTCACTTCACTCTCCTCGACACCAATCTCTGTGTCACTTCACTCTCCTCGACACCAATCTCTGTGTCACTTCACTCTCCTTGACACCAATCTCTGTGTCACTTCACTCTCCTCGACACCAATCTCTGTGTCACTTCACTCTCCTCGACACCAATCTCTGTGTCACTTCACTCTCCTGACCAATCTCTGTGTCACTTCACTCTCCTCGACACCAATCTCTGTGTCACTTCACTCTCCTCGACACCAATATCTGTGTCACTTCACTCTCCTCGACACCAAATCTGTGTCACTTCACTCTCCTCGTCACCAATCTCTGTGTCACTTCATCAACACTTCACTCCTCGACACCAATCTCTGTGTCACTTCACTCTCCTGACACTCTCTGTGACTCTCCTCGACACCAATCTCTGTGTCACTTCACTCTCCTCGACACCAATCTCTGTGTCATCATCTGTGTTACTGTGTCACTTCACTCTCTCGACACCAATATCTGTGTCACTTCACTCTCCTCGACACCAATATCTGTGTCACTTCACTCTCCTTCACCAAATCTCTGTGTCACTTCACTCTCCTTGACACAATATCTGTGTCACTTCACTCTCTTCGACACCAATATCTGTGTATCACTCTCCTCGACACCAATATCTGTGTCACTTCACTCTCCTCGACACCTCTGTGTCACTTCACTCTCCTCGACACCAATCTCTGTGTCACTTCACTCTCCTCGACACCAATCTCTGTGTCACTTCACTCTCCTCGACACCAATCTCTGTGTCACTTCACTCTCCTCGACACCAAATCTCTGTGTCACTTCACTCTCCTCGACACCAATCTCTGTGTCACTTCACTCTCCTTGACACCAATATCTGTGTCACACTCTCTCGACACCAATATCTGTGTCACTTCACTTCAATATCTGTGTCACTTCACTCTCACCAATATCTGTGTCACACACCAATCTCTGTGTCACTTCACTCTCCTTGACACCAATATCTGTGTCACTTTACTCTCCTCGACACCAATATCTGTGTCACTTCACTCTCCTCGACACCTCTGTGTCACTTCACTCTCCTCGACACCAATCTCTGTGTCACTTCACTCTCCTCGACACCAATATCTGTGTCACTTCACTCTCCTCGACACCAATCTCTGTCACTTCACTCTCCTCGACACCAATATCTGTGTCACTTCACTCTCTCGACACCAATATCTGTGTCACTTCACTCTCCTCGCACCAATATCTGTGTCACTTCACTCTCTCGACACCAATATCTGCTTCTCTGTGTGTCGACACCAACTTCATCCTCGTCACCTCATCTGTGTCACTTCACTCTCCTTGACACCATCTCTGTGTCACTTCACTCTCTCGACACCAATATCTGTGTCACTTCATGACACCAATCTCTGTGTCACTTCACTCTCCTGACACCAATATCTGTGTCACTTCACTCTCCTCGACACCAATCTCTGTGTCACCAATATCTGTGTCACTTCACTCTCTTCGACACCAATATCTGTGTCACTTCACTCTCTTCGACACCAATATCTGTGTCACTTCACTCTCCTGACACCATCTGTGTCACTTCACTCTCCTTGACACCAATATCTGTGTGTTCACTCACTCCTCGACACCGTGACACCACTGTGTCACTTCTCTCCTCGACACCAATATCTGTGTCACT